ACACAGAGAAAATCACTCTAATACAGGGCCAAAAGTCTGTTAGCTGTAACATGTTACAGGAGTACTGGACAGGACATTGTAGGTAAGAAGCTTTGCCTGGGGTTTTTTTCACTAGGAAAGAAATGCAACCAGGAGTAGGAACTTGGGGGATTTGTTCTCATCCTCATTTAATGTGGTTTGGGGAGGCAGTCTTGGGACTTCATCCAGGAAGACTTGGGAGATTCTCAGTCAGTTGGCACAGTTGATAAATGTGCTACTTCCTGGCACTCACCCTTACCTCTTATCATGTAAATAAATTTACTAAGTCCCAAGTTGGTTCATTTCCCTTCTGTCAAGGTCATAGTTATCTCCTTTTTCTCATCTACAGGGTTTCAGCGTTTAGGTTCTAGCTGTGGGGACTTGGGGAAATTACAGAACTCCCATGACGTACAATGTTGGGCCTAGTGTATAAAGCTGTGAAGGTTGTGTCCTGCTTTACTGCAGGAGGTGTCATAAACAAACCATGCATGGTGGCCTGTGGATGTGCTTCCCAGTGCCTTGCTCAACATGATCCACCAGGAAATTCGGGTAAAAATAGTACGTGCCACACCGGGTTATTCTCAGAATTGAGTAAATGCATGTACAGCAGTTAGGCTTGGCTGTAGGAAACCAGTGAAAGTACTTTCACTAAAGTACTATTACTTTCTATATGAAAGTAATAGTAGCTAACTATTAGAAGCTTGCTAGAGTGGGTGTTATTCCAGCTAAGATTTTTTTAAATGAGCTCATCTGTGTCCCTTCTTGGGTGGTTCTCATAATTTTTAGGACCATATATGGAATATGGAAAGGAGAGGCCTTTTCTCTTTCAAATTGAGAACCAAGGTCCCTCAATGGATAAATCCTTCAGGTGACTGAAGGCTGAATTTCTCTGATCATCCACCTTTTCCCCCTACTTCATTTCTAACACCCCACTTTTCCACAGGAGAACCGGTACTGTATCCTCCCAAAGCCAGCCCAACATACTCTTTCTGGTGGGAAGGTTAGATTCTCTTTAAGGGCTATATAATCAGGTAGTATTTCTCAAAGTGTATGCTAGAACCATTATTACTGGAACCACCTGGAGTGCTTGTTAAAGTAGATTTCTGGGTTCCATTTCAGACTAACAGAATCATTATCTGTGGGACTGGGATCCTGGAATCTAGTTTTTAACAAGCTCTCTAGATAACTCATACCACAACTTAAATGCTTTAGCCATTATGATCATATTCCAACTTCGAGCAGTTTTCTTTCACTAGATCTCTCACTGGGCCCTTCAGGAAAGAGGATTGCCTGTCTCCCCTTCACGAGATCCATCCAATTACATATAATCTGTTTCATTCTCCCTCCCATCCATTATCCAGAAGTGACATCTCCTTTAACCTTTTCTTGATAGAGACTGGATCCTCAGGTCACACTTACCCATTGATTACTCCAGTCTTTCTTGTTTACCTTCCCTGTTTGACTCACTCATTAATAAGCCTATCTATCCCATGCTGGTGATGTGCGCCCAAAACTCCCAGAATCCCCTATGACTAGAGCTGGGTAGACTCACTCCATGTTGGAAGGACAGGTTTGGGTGACTAAGTCCACAGTGGTGGGCTGCACAGGCAGCAGGATGTCAGTGGGTGCTGGACAAGAACTTAGAGTGACTGTATGGCCCAATTTACACAGGACAGTCCTGACTTATAGTAGTTGTGGGGGCCTAATTATTCATAGTACCCCCTTTCACTCTCAAAGGGTCTTGGGTTAGATGATAAATTATATGGTCATTCTGGTAATGAACCCCATGTCAAGACCAACAGTTGCAATGCTGTAGCTGTGGATTGTGCCTAGACCACCTTCCCCATCCCTCCACCCCCCAAACCCCTGCCATGGTTCCTCCTCCTAAGATTTCCTTAATGAATCCACTTTGGTATATTACTTTGGGCCTTCATTAAGGGATTTTTAAGAAAGTGCCATGAGCCCTGGCCGGTTTGGCTCAGCGGTTAGAGTATCCACCTGCGGTCCGGAGAGACCCGGGTTTGGTTCCCGCTAAGGGCACGTACCTCTGTTGCAGTTTGTCCCCGGCCCTGGTTGGTCATGCTGGTGGTGGCCACTCGATGTGTCCCTTTCACATCGATGTTTCCCTCTCTCTCTCTTCCTCTCTCTCCCTCCCACTCTGTCTGTACAAAAAATGGAAAAATGTCCTCGAATGAGGATAAAAAAAAAGAAAAAAAGAAAGTGCCATGAAATTTGTGGCTTTAATACTCTGATAAGATCTGGAAAATATTTTTACTTGGTTTTAACAACTGATACAGTTATTGCCCTTGTTTATTATCTCATTTGTCTTTATCTTCTGGATAACTAATTGTGGAACTAACAGTATTTCCCTTTGCTGTGATAAAGCTTAGAGCCACATATGTGGCCTTACGGCCTGTATATAAGATCAAACAGGATGCAATTTATATGAATTAACTCACTCTCAACTTAAATCCTGTTTTCATTCCTTCACTAACTTCAGATTTAATTTTTCTGGCCTATATTCTATATATCTGTAACCCATCTGTTATCCTTTTTGAAACAAGGCAGGTATAAAAAAAATGTGTATGAACACAAGCCCACAAACAAACTGGTACTGATTGCTAGTTATATAACTGAAAGGGATTATTTTTAAATGTATACACATAAGAATTTCCTCACTTACACAATATAGTTTTAACAAATGAGTAGCACTCAAGTAATACTGGATTTAGCTTTCTACATTATTCTCTAGAAAGTAAAAAGATTCTAAACAAAAGCAAACGAGATGAGATTAATTTTCACGTGAAATATTTTTAGATATGACCTAGAACCTTACACCAAATAATGTAATGAAGTATGCTCACTATTGAGGTCACATAGACTCATTAGGCACATTCAGGGCTTTTCACCTTCACAATGAAATCTGGTGCTGTTGGAAATGAAGAAAGGGAGAGGTAGGGGGATTAGGTAATCAGATTTGGGATGTACAGTTTAGATAATTATGATGACCCATGAGCAGGAGTCTTTGGTCAGAAGTGTGTGACCAATAGCAATGTTCTTGATGACTTGATAATATTGTAAGGGTGTTGGGGGCTAGTACCCTGTGGTTTGAAGCTAATATAAAATTACATGAGGAAATTCACCTTAGTGAAATCTACAGAGATCTTGTTCTATAGAGTGATTTCTGTCCCTTTTCAGCACACATATACCTATTTGTCTTTCTTAAGATGGAAGTATTTTTAAAAATATAAAAAACCTCCAGAGAATTAGATAACAAACCCATGTAACTCCTAAAAGAACAAATATTACTGCTTTCTCATATTTGTATTGTGTTTTAAAGCAAAAGAAATGAGGCCTACAGAATTGAAGCCTATTTTGTATCTCCCCCCAACCCATTACTTTTCTCCCAAGGCAACTGTTATCGTAAACATTGTACCTTTCTTTATCCTTTTACTACATAAGTATATGTTCACAAGTAGCAGACTCTGCTGTTTTATGTTCCAAACATAGTTTTTACGAAACAAAAATTACATAAATGACATTGTACCAAATGTACAATCATTTTATAGCCTTTTTTTTCTCTCTCAACTCAAAATTGTTTTCAAGATCTACCCATGTTGATACATAGAACTCAGTTCATTCATTTTAAGTGCTATAGAAGTGAGAATTCTTATACATTATCTCTTTTTACACATATGGGAGAGTTTCTCTAGGGTACCTATGTAGAAACAAAATTACTAAAAAAGCTCTTTAAAAGTTGAAAAATACTACACCCTTTCTTGTGGCCCTGCTCTGCTCTGATTGTACTTGAAAGTATTAATATTCAATGGGGAAAAAATACAGGTGTGCATTGGATTCTCAGAGTCCTTCCAGTAGAAGGTCTAAAATTATTAATACAGGCAAACCTTGTTTTGTTGAGCTTTGCTTAATTGCGCTTCACAAATGTTGTGTTTCATTAGCATGGAGGCAAGACCCTCCAACAAAAAAGATTATTACTCATTTAAGTGCTATTAAACACTTAATTGACTACAGCAGCAATTCTCAGCCTTTTTCATCTCATGGCACACAAACTAATTACTAAAATTCTGTGACACACCAAAAATATATTTTTTGCCGATCTGACAAAATGTAGATATAATTTTGATTGATTTACTAAAAAATAACAATAGTAATTACCTACCCTTTTTGCTCCAAAGTGACTTTTAAAAAAATCAGATGCCTATATTTGTATATGAGGATTTCTGGTACCAAGAATTAACCAATCAGACACAAACTTATAATGAGACATGACCAATAAAATGTAACTCTATTGTATGATCTATATGTTTATGGTTCAAGACAGGACATTCACACCTGACTGCCGTTGTTGTATTTGCTGTTGTCATTTTTCTATTTGATAATCCAAGGGAAAAGAGGTCATTGCCCCAATAAATAGTCAGGTATTGCATGTTTTAAAAATTCCTGTGGCATACTGGTTGGAAATCGCTGGACTATAGTATAGTGTTAACATAACTTTATATGTACTGGAAAACTAAAAAACTTGGGAACTTGCTTTCTTGCAATAGCTGCTTTATTGTGGGGGTCTGGAACTAGAACTTGTGATATCTCCAAGGTCTGCCCGTGCAGGGAGATGGATGCTCATAGGTCAAGGTCCCGTCACATCTGTTTCCTCGTCTGTACAATGAGAGTAATGAAAGTACCTCTTTCTTGAATTTTCTGTGAGAATTAGATAAAATAATAAATTTAAAGCATTTAGCAGAGTGCCTGGCACTTAGTAATAGCTCAGTACATATTAGCTGTTATCAATAATGTTATTAAAATGAGTGGATTTTTATTTCACTGGCTTTTATTTCAAGATGGTGTGTCATAGAACAATAGAATTTTAAAGAAGAAAGAAAATTATTCCTCCTTGTAATAACATTTTTGGAAGTTTTATTTTTATGTTTTCCATTTCCTTTCTAATTGAGTTTAATATTTTTGGCAGAATTTCATCACTGAAACAGTAAGAAGACAAAACATTTAAGCAGAGGGAGAACAGTGGGGAGAGGCAACTTAGTAGGAACTCCTGATGGTAGTGGACAGCCTGCTTTGGTAGGGTGCTACCTTCGTCCTTCTTTTCTGTCATTTATTCTGTTCAGTGGAATTGTCAATTTAGCTCCATGTATGCTAGCTAAGAAACGCATTGGCAATTACCAAAAACAACTCTATTTCTAATATGGGTTTAATTTTAAAAATCCCATCTACCTTACCAGGGGAATCCAATCAGAAATGTGTTAGAAGATATATTTAAATAGTTATTTTCTAACAAATGTGGTCAGAATCCAAAATGGCTTTGAAAATCTATGTGATCTGAAGAGATGGCACGATATGATGTGTAATATCTTGAATGTATCAAATGATATTTGGGGATTGGGGAAAATTCAGAACCCTTGATTAACTTGTTGAAATTCATATTTGAGATTTTTCAAAGTGTGGAGCTAAAATGACTGTGCCAAGCCAACTTTCCTATCAATGATCAAAGAGAATAAGATTTTAAAATAGTTGGATAACTAAGCAAGGGAGAAAAATATCTGAAGTCTCAGGGCCAGAGATCTGTATTAAATTTCAAATAGTTTCTTAGGGGTTTTTATACCCTGTGATAAGAGCAAAACTTTTAAACACTATGTCTCAAGGGCATGAGGGGATAACTGAATAATTACTATGGTGCTGTGATTTTGAGATGGCTTTGTTCAAATAAAAATTCCCACACACTAAAGTTGCGTTATCATTTATTTTTTTACCAAGAGGAGGAGGATGCCCAATCCAGATTTTGTACAGTGTTAGTTCCATACATTACACAAGCTCTTTTATGTTATCTTCTTTGTATTTCAGTGTTAAACAGGAGGAATAATTTAGTAGCAAGCTTTTTGGGATTTCGAAACAATATTTGAGACGGTCTATTTTCAGAAGTGCAGATCTGCAATACAGTCAGATTCAAGGACTTGGATGACTAAAGTAGATGACCAGTCACAAAGAGGTATTTCTTTTGTTTCCATCTTAATATTATTGATTTATAAATGCAATATGAAAAGGAGAGTAGAATTTTTGTTTTCCTTTGAAATGAACAATGGTTTCCCTTGAAATATTACATTTTGAAGACTTAGGAAATCTGGAGGAGGGTGACAGTTCCCGCCTCATTCCCGTCTAACAATGAGTCACTATTTTCTCTTACTTAGACTTGTAGTGTACCTTTGCATTAATTTTTGACAAGTGACAATTTTCCAACCTGAGAAACCTAAATATATGAGTATATGTATTTGAAAAATAAACAGCATGAACAAATTAAAATAAAAGGAACCATGTAGTAACACATTTCAACAAGAGGTGATAAGAAAATTCATTTAAGTCCCATTCAAAAGATGCATTCCTTTTTTGTTTGTTTTTTATTCCTCACCTGAAGATATTTTTCTATTGATTTTTAGATAGGGTGGGAGGGAAGGAGGAAGAGAGGGGGGGGGGGAGAGAGAGAGAGAGAGAGAGAGAGCGAGAGCGCGCGCGCAACATCATTGTGAGACACACTAATTGGTTGCCTCCGGAAAGACCCTGGGGCAGGGATCGAACCTGCAACCAAGGTACATGCCCTTGACCAGGAATCAATCCACAAGACTCTTCGATCTGAAGGCGAATGCTCTAACCGCTGAGCCAAACTGGCCAGGGCAAAATATTCATCTTTTAAATAGAAAACCCTGGAAGGGAAAATACATGCTGAAGACAAAGAACTTAAAAGGCTGAAGGGTCTTCCAGAGGGTTAGACTTTTGGTTCTTCCAAAGAGGCAAACACATAGTAATTCTGGATTTTAACTTTCTATATGGTACCTGCTCATTTATCCCTCCTTTTGACCTGGCTAGTCCCCTGGTTCTCGATCCTAGTCAAACTGTATCATTTGTAGGCCCTTTATGTTCAGTAACTGACCTCTGGACAAGATTCCTGTACCCAGGAATTTGGTTCTAGTTCTCTAGCTCCAATTTTCTGGCTTGTTTCCTCGGTCCTCAAGCCCAGTATTTTCCAGATCTCTGCTCCATTCTATGGCATAGAATATAGAACACAACTGACAGATTTTTCAGTCATTGTTATCAACCCCAATATTGCCGAAAATATCTGAGCATGTTGATAATGGAATGTGTATTTTTGAGTATTATTATACACATATCCAAATATTTATATACATATATACACATAAAAATCTTAAAAGCTCATAATTTAAATTACATTAGACATGTCAATCATATCTTTAAGAGATTTCCTTCCTTCTCCCTCCTTTTTTTTTTTTATTCATTTAACTAATAAACCAGGCTACAAGAGAAACAAATCACAGTCCATGTCTGAACAGTCACAGAATTTAAAGAAAAAATTTGAGTTGGATGCTTAGCCTGTTAGAAAGTTATATGCTACACTGGTGTTTATTTAATTTAATTAATTTATTTTAAATCCTCACCTGAGGATATTTTTCTATTTATCTTCACATAGCATGGGGGAGAGAGAGAGAGAATATCTATGTGAAAGAGACACATCAATTGATTGCCTCCCACACAACTCCTACCAGGGCCGGGGACTGAGCCGAAACTGAGGTACACGTGCACTTGACAGGACTCAAACCCTAACTCTTTGGTTCGAGGACCAACGCTCTAACTGATGAGCCAAACTGGCCAGGGCTATACTGGTGTTTTAAAGAGGTTCTTTGCCTAGAGCCCTCAGAAGTACTTGTAATCTCCTGACCTTGACAGTCTATTGCTGCTTTCAGTCTGTCTCCACCCTTGACCCCATTTCCAATCTAGTCTCCATTGCCCTCACATACATACTAGACCCTTTTGCCCCATTTCCATTCTTGGCCATTTTCTTGGCCATTTCAGTTCCCATCTGTCTGCTTTTCTGTTCTTGCTTCTGACCTTCAGAAAAATGCTGATTCACTTTAAGTGTACACCACCTAACCTCAAATTAGTAATCCCATTATTCATTGCTTGCTTACTACTAATATAGCTATTCCCACGTTCCCCACTCGTCCAAATCCCTATGCTCATACTCATTTATTTTATTTAATAAATACTAATTGAGAATCAACAATGTATTATACACTGTCCTGAGTTGTGGGCATTACAGTAGGGGACAAATCAGACCCAGTCTTTTTCCTAATATATTTTATAGTCTAATGAGGGAAATAGTTTCTCAGCCCTGGCTGGGCAGCTGAGTTGGTTAGAGCATAATTCACCAAAGTTGGCTGGGGGCATACAAGAATCAACCAATGAATGCATAAATAAATGGAACAACAAATTCATGTTTTTCTCTCTCTCCTTTCCTTTCTCTCTAAAATCAATCAATAAAAAATTTAAAAAGTAGTTTTTCACCTTCCTGTACTGGAAAATCTGGGTCTTTGAGGAAACATCAATCCCCTCACCTTCCCTTTCCACATGTCATCTCTCTGCCTCTTCTTCAAGTCTCTCTCTACCTTTACTCCAAGCTCAGGGAAGAGCCAATATTATTTCCTTCTGCGTGAGCTCTTGAATTCATGTCCTTCTTTCCTCTTCCAAGACCTTACTCCTTATGGTTCTTAATATTTTTTATTCTGAAATAACTGATATTTATTTTAGACATGTTAAACAGTCTGTATTAAATACAAAACTGTATTTTGACTTTTTTGATGAAAGAAAGGCTGAATACATTTGCTAATATCTTTAAATTAAGAACTGGCAGTTTCTTTGAGTGCTAATCTTATATTTTTTTCCTTTTGAAATCTGTGTTCTTTCCCAAAATAATCAGTATATGAGCCAGTGGATTGACATTCTTGGATCTGGTCTAAACATTCTGATGAAAGTTCCTCAGCAGATATGTCAGCTTGACATCTTTTTAAATGATTTTATTTGGGTTGCCTTCCAGGTACTTTCTTTCTATTTTGCTATGAAAAAATCCCACACATCTAGGCTTGGTTTTTCAGTTTTTAATCTTAGACTAGCTAACAAATACAAAGAAAAATTATTTTCATTTTCTAATCTGATTTTGAATCAGAAGGAAGAGTGTTTCAGTATCTAAGAATTCTTATAAAATTTCCTGTTAGATTTAGTAATTACTTCTTATACACTATTACATTGAGTAACAAAAACCTCTCTCCTATAGGTGATGTTGTTACTGGACAGGAACCAGCCTGGAGCGGGTCTGCCTCAGATTGGCCAGTAGTGTATGGGTTCTTGACTTCATGCAGGAAAGATTTTACAAATGAGTCCAGGTGATTTTGAGAGTATGTTTATTAAAGCTGGGGACAGTGAAAAAAGGAAGGGTTTAAAATAGAAGAAGCAACAGGAGAGAGCCTAGGCAGGGTTGCTTTGGTTCCCTAGAAATGTTATAGGAAAGAAATGATCCAAGTCAGGACTGCTGTGAGCTCCTGGAGAGTCAGAGAAAAGGAGGCCTTGGGGACAAGTTTAGGAGGTTAGCCCGAGACTAGCTGCCACTGCCCATTGCTCCTCTGGTTGCAAGTCTCATGGGGACCCTTAGAGTTTAGGAGATGCACACCTGAGAGGGAGAAAGGCATGGATGGGTGTGCTCCTGGGAAGGAGAGCACACTGGAATCCTTCATCTTGAGGATTTTCAAGCCTGGGAGTTTAGGGGAGATCTTAGGGGAGGATCTCAACAGAATATTCATCAGCTTTATGCTGATATACCAAAATGAGATTTTTTTCTCTTAACTTTATCTGTTCTTGGGTGTGGTAGGCACAAATACACTAATTGGATTTCTGCTGTCTGTCTCCCTGAGTAGAATGCTTTAAGCTATTTACCCTCTGGTCGGAGAGGAGAGGTACAAACCATTTACTCTTACGCATCCTTGGTTAGGGAAGATCACATTTTACAATTTACTAGATGGCTGTAAACTGCTTGGCCATTTAACTATCTGTCTCAGTTTCCCTATTCCACTTGCCCTGGCTTACTAGCCTGTCTCAGTGTCATCCATTATTTTATTGTGGTCATAACTTGGAACATCCTGAGTGTATAGTCCCTAAATTCCTGTGTCTTATTTTCAGAAAGTGGGTGTTAGAAATTTCCCCTTAGGAAAATATCTGTTTCTTCTTTTTAAAATAACACAAAAGGGCACCACACAAAAGTTTAGAAAGGTAATGAGAGCATCACTGATGGTTGTACTTCACCATTGCTCTTCAAGCCAGCATTTCTTCTTCAGGGAGACAGGATATGTGAGCAAGAGGCACAGATATATCATCTCTTTATTTCTATTGACACAATCTGACAAAACTATTCTAGAGATTTGTGGGGAAAGTTAGAAATAAATCCTGGCAAAGAGGACCTTCAAATGTTTGAGGTATGAATCTTACACTATAGTGAGAATCTGAAACCTCTGTTTTTTAAGGGCACCTGCCTTTAGTTTTGAATGCATGCATTACAGAAGACAGGATGACAGTGTCACCAGACAGGGACTGGGCCTGGAGCAGGTCTGCCTCAGGCTGGCTGGTAGTGTGTGGGTTCTTAACTTTGTGTAGAAAAGATTTTACAACACAAGTCCAGGTAATTTTGAGAGTATGTTTATTAAAGTTGAGGACAGTGAAACAAAGGAAGGGCTAAGGTAGAAGAAGAAACAGGAGAAAAAGTCAGAAAAAAAGGGGCTTTGGAGACAGGTTCAGGGGATAAGCCTGGGATGAGCTGCTGCTGCCCACTGCTCCCTGGATGCAAGTCTCCTGGGGTCCTGTAGAGTTTATGAGATAGACAACAGAGATACAAGGCATGAGTATGCTCTAGCAACAGCCTGCCATGGGTCCATTGTCTGGAGGCTTTTTATCTCTCTTTGGCCAGTGGGCATCCTAGGAGAGGTCTCAGGGGAGGGTCTTAATAGAATATTCATTAGCTTTTCAGGTGTGTCCTTCAATATGTTCAGTAATCAAAATGTGTGTATAGGGGGGTTAGGGGTTATTCTTATTTTGGTTAGTTTTCTTTTCAAAGAATGTCATCAAAGAGGGACTGAGGCTGTTCTGTCCTAGGATGGTCTGAAATGTGTAAACCATTTGTTCTTGGTTGTCCTTGGTTAGGAAAGATAACACCTTGTGATTCATTAGCTGGCTGTAAATTGCTCAGATAGTTTGACCTTGTTTAATTATTTTGTCTTAGTTCCCCTTATTCCACTTGTCAAGGAATTTCCCTAGCTTCTTACTATCCTCCCACGAAAGGACAGTTGGTATCTACCCCTGGCACAATTTACCTCCTTTCTTTGGGTTAGGAAAGAGGCTCTACTTATGACCACATCTTTAGTGTCCCAGTTGCACATTTTCTTTAATTACTTTCTCAGAGCCTCTAGCACTTGGGAACTCCTGGTGGGAAAGCAGGCTTAAGCAGATAGGAAGGTGGTATTGGGGCTGAGAGAGCAGTGGGATAAACTGAAGCAAAAGAGGTAGCCCCTATCAGGGAGAGGTCTGCAGTCAAAGTCATCAAGTCCAGCCCTGGCTGGGTAGCTCAGTTGGTTAGAGTGTTGTCTCAGTCCCCAATCATGGCACAAATAAGAATCAACCAATGAATGCATAAATAACTGAAACAAGTTCATAATTCTCTCTCTTTCTCCTCCCCCCTTTCTTTCTCTCCCTCAAATCAATAAAAATTTTTTTTTTAAATTATCAAGTCCAAAGGACAAAGTTAATTTTACTTCATTGGAGTATGTCTGCATGCAAAGGTTTTAGTTTAAGGAGCCTGGGGTGATATGTAGGAGAAGGCTCGTAAGTATTAGCATCTTAAGACAGTAAGTGGGTATGCAAATCTTAGATTAGAGAGACCCATAGAAGTTCTGGAAGCAGATGTATAGCCCCATGCAAAGGTTCTCCTATGAACCAGATGAGGAAGTCATAAAGGAATCAGGACCCCTCAGATAACACAGTTATAGTACAGAAGGTTTCCATTCCAGTAAGAATGTTGGGGGTGGGGGGTAGGGTATCTAGGAATGTGGGACTAGATTAAAAGGCTCATCAGACCACTTGGCTACATGGTGATGGTTAGTTAGGGCTTTGCTCTAAAGCACAAGCCAGAAGTGACTGATTCCAAATCCCCCTGGAGCTGTCCTGGCTACTACCCTTTCATCAGCCATGGGAGAGGGGTGAAATGGTGTTCACTTATCCAGAACAGCTGACACAAAATAAAGTGGGGGCAAAGGTTGTCAGTGACTAACCTGAAACCACAGGTCAAAGCTGATCATCTGATGCACACACACACACACACATACACACACACACACACACACACACACACACACACACACACACACACAGAGTTATGGACTAGAAAGGCTGCCCCTTTATCAGTGAGGCAACATGTGATCAAGGAGTTGGGTTAATGGAATGCCAGAGGGTTCTGTTTTTTAGCAGCAGGCCTTATACCACCCATTATAAAGGGTCACATTTTGGCAGGACCAGTAACGGGATGAAAGAAACAGCAGCAAGAGATTTAAAAGAAAAAATAGGAAAGTTCCATTCTCTTGGGTCAAAAAAAAAAAAAAATTACCACTTGCATAATTACAAAAGGCCTGACTTGGCAACCATTCATGAGAAAAAAGATCTGGGGTTTTTGTTGATAACAAACTCAAAATGAGTGAGTTGTGATACAGTGTTATAAATAAAAAACAAGCAATGAAATCTTAAATTGCATTAGTATAGTGTCCAGATAAAGGAAGCTAAAACAGCCCTGGCCAGGTGGCTCAGTTGGCTGGAGCATCACCCTCTATACCAAAAAGGTTGTGGGTTCAATTTCCAGCCAGGGCACATACCTGGGTTACAGGTTTGATCCCGGTCAGGGCATGTACCAGAGGTAACCAATCAACTGATCTTTCTCTCTCAAATCAATAATCATATCCTTGGTGAGGATTAAAATAAATTTTTGTTAAAGGGGAGCAAAAACAAAGATGGTTTTACTGAACTCAACAGTGGTCAATTATATTTAAGTACATTTTAAAGAGAGACACATACAAACAAGCATGAATCCAGAGAAAGACAATTAGGCTGTAGAAAAATCTGGAAACCATGTCACCTAATCTGTAGTCAAAAATACTTGTTGGGCTAGCCAAAAGAGAAAATACTGGGTCAGGAATGTAAGTGTCTTCCAAAACTTAAAGGATCATCTGATGAAGTAGTAGCCTTAAGGTTTATCAGTCTTTTTTTTTTTCTTTATAAATGTATATATAGAGAGACAGACACTGATTGGCCACCTCTTGCATGCCCCCCACTGGAAATCGGGCCCTCAACCTGGGCATGTGCCCCAACTGGGAATCGAACCTGCAACCTCTTGGTACATGGGATGATGCTCAACCACTGAGCCACACCAGTCGGGCAAGGTATGTTAATCTAAAGAACAAACTGAGAACTAGATTTCGGTTCAATGAAAAGCAAACATCTTAAAGAATCAAATCTGTATGACAATAAAGTTAAATACTTTCTAAAGCCATGAACTATCAATTACGGAACATGTCCAAGTGGATTTCAAATGGTCCTATAATGGAGTGGGGAGGGTAGCCTGCATATGAGAAGGAGGGGAGCTGGATTAGATGACCTCTAAAGTTCTTCCAAGCCCCAGGAGTCCATCGTTATTCTCAACCACCTATGTTTGTACCTGAACACCATCCCTTCACATTTCTTCCCACAATCTCCCTGCCTTCTCTAGCATATTAACTTCCTCCAAAGATTATTTTCCATTTTTATTCTTAAAGAAGGAAACAATCTTTATTTGGTCTTTTGTTCTTGCGTAGAGTGGAGTTTTTACCTGTTCAGAATCTTTGTGTTTGGAAACAACATTCTAATTTCTTTGGGGGACTACCCCTCCCAACCCCTTAGGGGTGATCATATGACCCTTGCCCGGCCTATTAGTCTTTTGACCATGAATTATTTCAGGGATGGGCATGTGACCCAAGAAGAATCAGTTTTAAGATTTTTACTGGAACTATTAGGAACTGCAAGGGCCACTTATCTGTTAATCATAATGCTGGAGTTGCCAGAAGCCAGCATGTGGAAAGAGTCTGTAAGAGATGGAAGCCAGCACAAAAAAGTGGGTGTGGGAGGTGGAGAAAGAAAGAATATCCTGACGATATTGTTGAATCTCTGGACTTTCCAGTTACACAAGCCAATATAGTTTCTCTTTGGTTTATATCTCTGTCTCTTGAAACCAAAATAGTCTGAACAATATGTTTGTGCTTTCAGTTTT